AAAAAAAAGAAAAAAAGAGTTGGAATTGTGTGCATGTGAGTGCTTGGAGAATGATGAGAGGGATAACAATAGGTGGGGTTTTTCATCCCCCGCCTCACTGGATGAAATGATTGTGAGTGGCCCCTTCTTCCCAGCTCCAACTTTGCCCCTGGCTGTTCTGAGAGAAACTGGAAGTTCCAGGTTTTCTGCTTTGTTTCTCAACAAGGTGTAGTCTTTGGTGGCCACATGGCCATGTGAGACTTAGGGGGAAAATGAAAAGACATCAGAAAGGATGACTATATTGTGGTTTTGTTACTGGAATTTCTTCAGTGAGTCCTTGGTTTCGGGGATTTGGGATTTGAGCCCACAGGCCACAGACCAGCGATAAAATGGGATTTTGTTGGACAGAGGGGCATGCAGAGAGAGTGGAGAGTGCCAGAGCTACTGGCAGGTGGGAGGAGGTCCAAGTCGGAGGTCTCCTGCATGGTTCCTTTGTCTAGGGGTAAAAAATTGGCCCTGAGACTCAGCACCTGTTGGCACGATGGTTACTGCACCAGCCACATACACCGAGGCTGGTAGGTTCAAACCTGTCCTGGTCTAGCTAACCAACAATAACAACTGCAACAAAAAAATAGCCAGGTATTGTGGCGGGCTCCTATAGTCCCAGCTACTTGGGAGGCTGAGACAAGAGAATCGCTTGAGCCCAAGAGTTTGAGGTTGCTGTAAGCTGTGACACTACGGCACTCTACCAAGGGTGACATAGTGAGACTCTTTCTCCAAAAAAAAAAAAAAAAAAAAAAAAAAATTGGCCCTGAGAGATACTTTGGCCAGGAACTTGGTAGATGGGAAAAATACAATTACAAACGGAATAGGTATTCTAGCAAATGAATGCATGTAGCCCCCTCACCTTGGGCAAAGTTATTAGGTCTTTGCTGTGGTTTTTCTCTGGGGAATGGATTAGGCTGTGTGCTCCCTAGTCAGGGTGGAGCCATCCAGAATGTTTGGGGCTGCTTTGTTCATGACCTTGCTAGGGCTCAGAGGGTATGGCCTGGCCTGCAAAATGTTTGTGCCTAGAAATGGGAGTTTGATGTCTGAGCTGAAGGAAGTATGGAGAAACCTCAAAGAACTCAAGCTAGACCTCTCATTTGATCCTTCAATCCCATTATTGGGCATCTACCCAGAATTTACAATTGCCAAAATGTGTAAGCAGCCTAAATGCCCACCAACCCAGGAATGGATTAACAAGCCATGTATACCATGGAATACTATTCAGCCATTTTAAAAAATGGAGACTTTGGCTTGGCACCTATAGCTCAGTGAGTAGGGTGCTGTCCATGTACACTGAATGTGGCAGGTTCAATCCTGGCCTGCGCCTGCTAAAAAACAACAATGACAACTATAACCTAAAAATAGGTGGGCGCCTGTAGTCCCAGCTACTCGGGAGGCTGAGGCCAGAGAATCGCTTAAGCCCAAGAGTTGAGGTCTCTGTGAGCTGTGATGCTAAGGCACTCTACTATGGGTGACACAGTGAGACTTTGTCTCCAAAAAAAAAGGAGACTTTATGTCCTTTGAATTAACCTAGATGGAAGTGGAACACATTATTCTTAGTAAAGCATCATAAGAATTGAGAAGCATGAATCCTATGTGTTCAGTTTTATGTATGAGGACAATTAATGACCTAGTACACGGTGAGGGTTGGGGGAAGGGGAGAGCAGAGAGAGGGAAGGAGGGAGAAGGGTGGGGTCTCCGTGTGTGACACACCTCTTGAGGGCGAGACACAATTGTAAGAGGGACTTCACATATGTAACACATGCAATCAGTGTAACCTGGTTTCTTGTACCCTCAATGAATCCCCAATAATAAAAAAATTTTTTTTTCTTAAGGATTTTTACATCCATGTTTACCAGACTTTTTTTTTTTTTTTGGAAACACTTCTATTCCCTAGACTGGAGTGCTTCATCATAGCCCACTGCAGCCTCAAACTTTGGGACTCAAATGGTCTCCTTGCTTCAGCCTCTGGAGTAGGGGGCTATAGAGACGTGCTGCCATGCCCAGCTAGTTTTTGTATTTTTTGTAGAGATGGTCTTGCTGTGTTGCTTATGCTGGGTGGGAAGATGTTTTGTTGCAAATTTACTTTTATTAAAATTTCCCAGCTCAGCACCTATTGCTCAGTGGCTAGGGCCCCAGCCACATATACCGGTGCTGGTGGTTTCACATCCAGCCTGGGCCTGCCAAACAACAATGACAACTACAAGCAAAAAATAGCCAGGTGTTGTGGCAGGCGCCTGTGGTCCCAGCTGCTTGGGAGGCTGAGGCAAGAGAATCACTTAAGCCCAGGAGTTTGAGGTTGCTGTGAGCTGTAATATCATGGCACTCTACCCAGGGTGACAGCTTGAGGCTCTGTCTCAAAAAAAAAAAAAAATTACCCTGATTTACTGTTGATTATAATCCATTCTCTGTCAATTTTGTAAGTTGGATTTTTCAGGGTATTTGTCCATTTTATCTAACTTTTGGCATCAAGTTGTTTATAGTAATATAACACCTTTTTCATGCCTCTAGGACCCATGGTGATGAACCCTCTTTCCTTATATTGCTGGCATTTATTCTCTTTTCCTTGGTCACCAGGCCAGTTGTTAATCATTTTTTTTATTTTGTTATGAGAACCAGCTTTTTTTTTAGAGACAGAGTCTCACTTTCTTGCCCTCTGTAGAGTGAGGTGACATCACAGCTCACAGCAACCTCCAGCTCTTGGACTTAGGCAATTCTCTTTCCTCAGCCTCCCGAGCAGCTGGGACTACAGGCGCCTGCCACAACGCCTGGCTATTTTTGTTGTTGTTGCAGTTTGGCTGGGGCCAGATTTGAACCCGCCACCTTCGGTATATGGAGCTAGCGCCCTATTCACTGAGCCACAAGCGCCATCCAACAACCAGCTTTTGGCTTTGTTAAATTTCTGTATTGTTTGTTTTCAGTTTCATTGATCGCTGTTCTTTATTATTTCCTTCCTTCCATTTCCTTCCGAGTTTATACTGCTATTTTTTGGCATTATGAGGTAGAACTGTAAGTCTTGATTAATGTGCTGTACTCCTGTTCTCCAGAGAAATAGAACTAATGTCTTTCTCTGTCTGTCGGTCTGCCTTTCTAAGGAGATTGTTCCAAGGATTTGGCTGATGTGATCATGGAGTCTGCAGACTGGAGTCTGAGGAAAGCTGGGTATGATCCTAGTCCAAGGGCAGCAGGAGACCAATACCCCAGCTCAAGCCTCCAGGCAAATTCTTCCTTCCTGCACCTGTTTGTTCTGACCCTCCAGAATCTAGGGTTTTGCCTCAGCGCCTGTAGCTCAAGCGGCTAAGGTGTTAGCACATAGACCTGAGCTGGCGGGTTCCAATCTAGCCTGGGGCCTACCAAACAATAATGACAGCTGCAACCAAAAAATAGCCAGGCATTGTGGGCGCTTGTAGTCCCAGCTGCTTGGGAAGGGAAGGCAGAATTGCTTGAACCCAGGAGTTGGAAGTTGCTGTGATGCCACGGAACTCTACCCAGGGTGACAGCTTGAGGCTCTGTCTCAAAAAAAAAAAAAAGAATCTAGGGTTTGGGTGAGGCCCACCCACATTTGAGAGGGCAGTCTGCAGAGTCCACAATTCCAATGCTAATTTTATCCAGCAACACTATAGCAGACTACTCTGGACCCTCCGTGGCACAGTCAGGGTGACACATAAACACATCAAATTAATCGCTGCGTATGTTGTATTTTATTACTCAGTTTAGGTTATTTTCTAGCTTGGCTCTGTAGCAGGTGCCTATGGTCTCAGCTGCTCTGAAGGCTGAGATGAGAGAATGAATCACGAGCTTAGGCACTGGAGGCTGCAGTGACACAAGCTGGCTACAGAGGGAGACCTTGTCTCTTAAAAAAAGAAATTATTTCCCCTGTGATATCTTCTGTGAGCTGCATGTTATTTAGACATATGTTGTTTAATACTTGACTTTTTCCATATATCTTACTATAAACCTACAAATTGGGGTTTCTAATGCTCGGAAGGTCGGGACATACACTGTGTGTGATTTCAGTGCATTCATGTCTGTTGGAAACTGCTGTGAGGCCCAGCGTCTGTGACTTGGTCTTTGTCTATGTCTCAGAACATCTGTGGGTATTGGTTGTTCTCTGGCTATTTGTTGGGCCATGGTAGTTTAATAGTGTGGTTTTAGGCTCAATGCCTGTGGCTCAAGTGGCTAAGGCGCCAGCCATGTACACCTAAGGTGGAGGGTTCGAATCCAGCCCGGGCCCACCAAACAACAATGATGGCTGCAACCAAAAAAAAAAATGGCCGGGCGTTGTGGCGGGCGCCTGTGGTCCCAGCTACTTGGGAGGCAGAGGCAGAAGACTCACTTGAGCCCAGGAGTTGGAGGTTGCTGTGAGCTGAGATGCCACAGCACTCTACCCAAGGGGACAGCTTGAGGCTCCTGTCTCCAAAAAAAAAAAAATAGTGTGGTTTTAAATCATCAGTATTTTTCTTGATTTCTTTTTCTTTGGTCTATTCTGTTGGTTTCTGAGATGAGTATTCAAGTTATAGTTGGATGTTACATTATTATCCATTCTGACAATCCCTAACTCTGTTGGAGTGTTTAGCCACTAACATTGAATTGAATTATTGGTGTGTTTAGATTCAGACCAACCAGTTTATCTAGGTTCAGTCCATGTGTTTTGTATTATTTAAATATTTTTCTGAGTTTCATCTTTATTTTTCTTTTATTCTTTGCACTTTTTATGTAGGGGTTGCTTTAGGGATTAAGATACATATCTACTTTTTCAAGGTCTGCTTAGGGTAGCAGCATTGTAGCAAATCCCACCCAGTGCATCTGGGGACCGCTCCTCTACACTCCACATGCTGTGGGGGTGTCTGCTTGCATTATACAAACCCCACAAGATAGGGTTTTGAACAGACTTATGGAATAAAGTTCATCAACTCCACGCTTGATATTTTCATCTGTACTTTTGATGGTTTTAAAGCATTTTTTTCTTGCAGATTAGCCTAACATGGCAGACCAGAGACAGCGTTCACTTTCTACCTCTGGGGAGTCACTCTACCACGTCCTTGGACTGGACAAGAATGCAACCTCAGATGACATTAAAAAATCCTATCGGTAAGAGGCCTAGCCTAAGCCACCAGGTTCCCTCAGAAGGAAGCCCTCTTATGTAGTCAGCATTTTACCTAGAACCACGGCCCCTCCTTCCCACAGATTCATTGCTCCATGGGAAACAGTTACTATTATGTCTTTGTGTGTGCAGTGTACTCCTTACAGCCTAAAATTGTCATGTTAATATTCTTTTGATGACAGAAAACTGCACTCTGTAGATCTTAACAAACTGCACACAATCCCACAGAGAGTCAGGGTCTGAATCTGCTAGGAGACCTCCATGGCCAGCAGAGCTTTGGAGTGGCCATATGAGTCACTTGTTCTGGCACAGTGGTGATAGTCCCTTTACTCAGCTGGACTCAAAGGACTTAACTCTTAAGAGATCGATACTAATCCACACAAGCAGATAGCCCCCCTTGTGTTCTTCGCCCCATATAAACTACTAAACACACTGAAATGCTTTTCTTGCACCCTCCTCCTTACCACTTCATTTGACAGACTGCAGTTAGCCTCTGGGACACCAGGGCTCAGCAGTAGGGTCTCCCTTTGTGCTGCTACAGGTGCCGGCCATAGCCCGGTTCAGCTTAGGACCCTCAGTGGATGGTCAGGGTGGGGGGATTTGCTGCAGAGATTGCTCTTGATTTTTACATTCTGGAACTCTAAAAGTTGAAAAGTGAGGTGGTAATAAAGAAACATTTCTTCGGCTCGGCGCCTATAGCTCAACCGGCTAAGGCGTCAGCCACGTACACCTAAGGTGGCGGGTTCGAATCCCCAGCCCGGACCCGCCAAACAACAATGA